ACTACTTATTGCAGATATGGATACGCAGAAAGCGCCCAGTTACTTTACGATCACATAGTATTTGATAGGTCAGTATTTTCTAGAAACATTCTGTTGTCCGCAGTAAAGGTTAGCGATCATGACCGGCGCAGTTTACAAGCCTTCATGTTGCAGCTGACGAAACTTATTCTTATTGGAAGTCAGATTGATATAGCATACTACAAAATAGTTTATCCTGGATTGCTTAAAAGCCAGGAAAGGAAATGGACCAATCAGATCAACAAAATGCGAAAGAACATGGAATCAATTGATTCATATATCGAGGAAAACTTCCTGGATGCAGCAAACGAGGATGCTAAGGAGATTCTGTCAACCTACAAAGGCTATACCAATTCATATGTGTCTGATAAAGTTTATGATAAACTTGAAGAAAAGTACTACTGGCGCAATTGGTTCGTAGCAGTTTATGACGATATTAAGGGCAGGAGTGAGCACTGGATATCACTTTGTAATGGAAAATTTGTTTTTCGTGAAAAAGGCTACAACATGTTGTTGGCAAGCAACTCAAGGGAAACAACAGATTTGGACTTTTCTAGGGCACGATCTTATCTAAATGGTGCTAAAATTGTAGATATAGGTTTTTGGAGTAAAGGGTACTTTGATGCTATAGATGTCATGGAGAGCATGGAAATACCTGACGGCTGTAGTTCACAGACCGCTTATGGAGTCATTAAACAATACGCAAGCGTCTCCCTGAGAGCTCATTCCTGGAGATATGTGGAAATCTGGAGATATCCCTATATATTGTTTATGTTTCGATAAATCAAGGTATACTTTTTTCCTATTCGAAAATGATTACAATTTTGCTCTTATTCTTGATGTTTACTTGATATAATTTCTAGTTTGCAAATACAACATATCGTTGGATGGAGTACTGACTGCCGTTTTCAAAAGAAATTGTTTGGACACTACATTCAAAAGGAATTGCAAACAAAAAATCCGGATCTATACAAAGAGCTCAAGGCGGTTGTAGCCCAGCAGCGTAAAACTTCTACTCCAATGAACCTAATCCCTTCTCCAGTGTTTTTTTTTGTTCTGTTTTGTTTTTGTTTGTTTGTTTGTTTTTGTTTGTTTGTTTTTTTTTTTTTGTTTTTTTTAGAAACCCGTATTTCTTTTGCTATAAGTTTGTGATCGTAAAATGGATGTTTAAGGTAGAGATTGATAGGTTGTCAACAGAAAAACTAACCATTGAAATTTTCTGAATTTTATATATGTTTGTGTTGAGTCTTTGTTCTAAATCATATTAAAAATTCAAGGTAGGTCATTGGGCTAGTTTAAGAGAAATTTGATAATTTTAATATAGCCTTCATCACCCACCGAAGAGCTGAAAAAGCAGGGTAAAATAATATAAGAAGAAGATATGAAAAGGGCTATAAAATTTTATTGATACATTAATTATCATTTGTCTTATATGAATTCAAACATCTGTCTATATGAAATAATATTTGACATCAATCTTAAAATTATCAAGCATTTTAAACGAAAAACAGAATTACATTCACCAAGATGCATGGTCAAATTACGTTAAAATATTGCCTATTCATTGCTCAAAGACTCACACTTCTGCTTCCACTGTGAAAAAATTACCCATCAAATTTCTTTTTTTATTGCATATTATAGTTAGTCAATAGGTATCTTAAATTTCAGAAAAAAATCATACTACATAATGGGGTTTAATTTCATCCTGGCGCAAGTTTATTATCTTGCATCCTACCCTACCCCCTTCCTTTACAAAGGATGCACTTTTGAAGAATATAGTGACTAAGAGAGATTATCAAAGAATTCATCAAAATATTTCACAGAAAATGAATAAATTCTTTGTAATATTCTTCTAAATTACATTTTATATCACAAAAGCAAATATTTATACATCCTAGACACATGTTGCCCTGGTTGACCTTTTTGCACTTACATTCAAACAGATATGAACTTTCCTTTATATCGTTAAAATTGACTTTGATAGATTTATTATGCATATGATTCTTGGATGAATTATCAATGACAATATCTTTTGACCAATTCTGTGCATAAATAAACTGGTCTTTTAATCTTCCTTTGACAATTAGTATTAATTTCACTTTCCTTTAATAATTCCTTTTTCATTCCAAATACATGTATAACATGTATAAGAATACCCAGTGAATATGAAGTTTTGTAAACAGAATCAATCCACTGTATGTTATCCTTGTTTTAAAGATATTCAAATAAAAGCATGAGTTATGTGTTTCACTGTTTAATGAAGACTGCCTGGTCATCAGTAGTCAGATATTAATACACTAAAGCATCACATGGTAAAAAGTGCGGGGTAATAGAGTGATTCGGTTATCATTACATACATACAAAAATAGTGTAATAATTTACGTAAAAACATATAATCTATTAAAGGTAATAATTTGTAACTTTAAAGTATAGATTTTACACACAGGTTCATAAAAGTTAGAGGAATCCCACCATAAACTGTATATGATGGTGTACAACTTTTAAACTCGGGATGTAATTCAACAAAATAAAGTGAATACATTCAATAATATGTAAGTTTTTCCTGAAGTAAACTCCTCAAGTAATTTCAAGAAAATTGGAATGTCATTTGATACAACATTATGACCTGCAACAAGAAAAGGATGGTTTGATTTAAGAAAATCTAAGAAATATAACAATGCTTGATGAATGTTGATGCTACATGTACATGTATTACCATTAAGATTCATTTGGAAAAGTAAGATAAACTTGTTATTTTGCTAGCTATAGTTTTTTGGCTTATTGGCTGACGAAGATCAATGTACACTTGTATGAATCTTTAATTGCCATCATATGAATCCAGTTGGGTCACGTTCAAGGAACCGGACAATTCTGTTGATTCTATGTCAATACAACAAAGGTGTTCTTTTCAGAAGGAGCTGCAATGAGCGGAATTCATTCTGTATCTTCAGATTTTGAAGCACATATCTAATGGGTGGGATATGTCTGTTTCCTCTTTACTGTATCCTTCTGGTAGTTCTTTTTCTGAAATGAACAAATTATTTTAATATTTAAAGAACTAAAATACATGTATTACTTCTTTCTTACACTGCAAACATGGTATGACTTTGTCTATATTATGAATATAAGACATTTCTGACTGGATTAATGAAGTGTCTAAAAAAAAAAAATAGGTAAAGATTACATATTCTAGTTTCTCAATGTAGTCACACTCTAAGGCCAAGATCATGGGGTTAAAAAAAGAAATAAACATGTGAAATACAAAGACCCAGCAATAATTGTTTAAGAGTTAAGGCCAAAGGATAAAGTTTTTGTGGAAAAAACACTACATGTACCTGTCAATGAAACATCTTCAATGTAAAACAATACATACAGCAACTAGCAACATGCTGTATGTGTACTTAAAAAAGCGGGCTTCATATTTTAGCGGCTTTGGCACAAAAACGATGCGCTAATTCAAGAATACTGCTAAGAAATCATTTACAAGAGGCCCAGGGGCCACATCGCTCACCTGAGCACTATGGCTAGGAAATAGCAGAAATCAGTTCAGTCTTGAAAGGTTGAAAAGTTTAAATAAAAAAGTGGTTCGGGGGGGGGGGGGGTCATGAATTGAACAAATTTGAATCTACATTATCTGAGGATGCTTCTTTTTTAATATGACCAATCATGGCTTTGCTGTTCTTGAGTAGAAGATTTTTAAAGATTTAACCTATGTATTCCTATGTAAAACTTTGATCGCCCATTATGGCCCCACCCAACCCCCGGGGGTCATGATTTGAACAAACTTGAATCTACACTACCTGAGGATGCTTCCATGTAAATATGACCAATCATGGCTTTGCTGTTCTTGAGAAGAAGATTTTTAAAGATTTTTCCTATATATTCCTATGTAAAACTTTGATTGCCCATTGTGGCCCCACCCGACCCCCAGGGGTCATGATTTGAACAAACTTGAATCTACACTACCTGAGGATGCTTCCACATAAGTTTCATATTTTCAAGCACAGTGGTTCTTGAAAAGAAGTTTTTTTAATGATGCCATTAATTTTTCACGAATTCTTAATTATCTCCCCTTGGAAGAAGGCATGGCCCTTCATTTGAACAAACTTGAATTCCCTTTACACAAGGATACTTTGTGGCAAGTTTGGTTGAAATTGGCCCAGTGGTTCTTGAGAAGAGGATGAAAATGTGAAAAGTTTACAACAACAACGACAACAACGACGACGACAACGACGACAGACAACAGACAAATTTTGATCAGAAAAGCTCACTTGAGCCTTTGGCTCAGGTGAGCTTATAAATACAATGTACAGCAGGGACATATATAGCTCGAATTCATGATTTTGCCAAAAATTCCACACCCAGTAATTGCGCTATATTTTAAATACGCCAATTTATGTACACATACAGTAACTATTGTATGTGGAATTAAAATACATTTTTTACATCATTCTTATTCCTTGGTTTTTAATCCAGTCTTGTCCTAATTACCTTACTGACATAATTCCAATATTCTTTTGTAACACTGCATATGACACTTGATTATATAGCAAAGAATCATGTATGTCCATAAGATCTGTAACATGAAGATAAGACAATAAAAATTAAAGTAGATAGCTTGATCTATTTAAAAGATATTGTAGAATTTATGAACAATTCTGATTTAATTTGTAAATTTAATTTTTTGTAAATTTAGGTATGATAATGTGAAGAAGTCAGTATGTACATGTATTGTTAAAAAACCATGTCTCATAAGTTTTTTTACAATACTGACTTCAGATTATCATACCAATTCTTTGGTGTTATAGTTGAAACAATCTCATTCAAGTTAGAAGACATCTTTACATTTTTTTAATTTTTGGTTACATGTATTCAGTTTTTAATTCAATTTACAATGTGGTTTTTTTTTGTATGTCTATACACAAGCATTTACCGGTACATGTATTTAAGTCAATAGTGCACCTGACTAGTAATGCAGGGGTCCCAGGTTAGAATCTCGGTCCAGCCATACATTTTCCTCCTTTCCTGTCACACATGTATGCTACTTTATGTACAGTTACTGTAGCAGATCTGTCTTGAATTTTCCTGAAATATGTATATGAACTTTGAAAAATTATTGACTTGAGAAAATGCTTCTACATGTATACAATAGTTTGTACATTATGGTGTGTAACTTAAGAATATAAGGGCTAAAATTTTGAAATTCAATAAATTTATAATATTATAAAACACATCCTTTTTACCCCCCCCCCCCCTTCCCATTGGAAAAATTTCTGGATTTTCCCTGATACATGTGCAAGTGTAAATTGAAAGGAAAAAAAAAGAGAGGAAACAAATTAAGCTTTAAATACAAACCAATGGCTACTTTGAAGTTAATGTAAAAAGCACCCTTGATATTCCTCTTTCCAGCTGACACTTGATTTGAATGGCCACATTATTTCCGCAGAGAATGCTGAATACACTGCCTTAGCCTACTCCATATTTTGCTTCACCTGTAGTATTTAATATTTCTTTTAGTATTTATAATATCTGTTTATAATCAGGACCCTTTTGAGTATACAACAAATACATACATAATTTATTACATGTGCATAATTATTACATAAACTTGCATTTATTTAAAAATCTTTTGAATACAGCACCATTTAAACTGTAATTTATCATCTATCTATATGGTTCATAAGTTTAACAAGTAAAATACATGTACTTAAATAATATACAATGTTAAGTATTAAACAGGTCCAGTACAATCAGTACATTCATCTGCATAGGTAGAATTACCTACAGACGGTTACTGTAACTTTGTTTTGCTACTTTCGGTAGCTTTATTTAGCTATTTCAATGCAACTTTTTACAAATTTGCTTTTTTATTTCAAAAAGACAAAAGATCTAAAATTGCAAGTAAATGTCCACTATTATTTATACAAAGGATTAATATTTAAAAAAGCGACCCAAAGCAGAGAAAGTTTACACATTTCTGTGTTTGAACGCTTTAAGCAAAATATGTATTTCTATTGTTTGAGTAACTATACACAACCTGGTGTGCGCTTAGGCACAGAAAAGTATGATTACTTCACATTGTGCTAAATAATTACCAATCCGGCCTTTATCATGTTCTCCAGAAATGTCTGGTCTTGTTATTTCATTCAAGAAGTAAGAGTCTGGTCATAAAATAAGTTTGACTATGTAGCTAAATAAAACTACTTTAGTTAGGTAAATAAACCTATGTAGGTAATTCAAGCTACGTAGCTAAATCTAGTGATTGTACCAGACCTGTACGTTAAACAATTGTTAAACAAACATGCACCATAGTCGTAATATTCACCTGATGTATCTGAAACGGACACTGCAAACAAAACATTTGTTCTGCAAAAAATTTTACTTCTTCCATCATACCAATTAACATCTGCAGGGTCATGGCCTTCATCAGTTAATGTCTATATTCAAAACCACATCAGACACCGATACCGGCATCCACGTGGTGCTGCAGTCGACAAGGAGTAGTTTCACCAAAATTATGCTCATGGTCGGTTTCAGTCTCATTTTCATTTCGATTCTTATTAAGGTGCTTCAATTTCGAGGACCGTCAAGATTAAATATGTATAGAAACTTTGTCTTTTAAACGAGGAAATTTTCTCGACTGCTTCGTCGGCCATCTTGTAGCATAGACAATAATGTGTAAATGAAGATTATTATTTGGCGGCGTTGCGGAATCCGGAAAAATAGCACGTGCTAATATGCGGATTCTATCTATCACGTGATTGCTATCCGTCTCTACCTTAATCTTGAATATTGTTTCTTGATTTCATCTTTCAGTTCATGATAATTTACTTTTGTGTAGTTTGACTAAACAATCACTTGATATCAAATACAATGAATTGCAATCTGCACCGTCTTACATAATTCGTTATTAGATAATGTATTCCCAATATTATATCAAGCCATAATTAAAAAAAAGAATCCCTTGATTATTATCTATTTTTTTTAATTCGATGTGGGTGGGCAGATTTTGTTTTACTATGTTCTTTTTTATTTCTTCCATTATACAGATTTTTTGTTGACCTCATCAATTAATTGTTGACGATTTATCTATTTTGCCCGAATAAAAGTCAAAGTACAGGTCTATTCAAATGGACTTTTCTTTTACTACTACTCTCACCAATTTTTCAAAACCAATTATATACTTGTTTCATACATATTACAGCAATAACCGTCCTGTCAGCTTTCAGAAATAAAACTGACTGTTGCACATAATGTCAAAACTGTCTTTCTTAATAATTTTACCTATGCAAGTATTTAAATCCCAAACGTTTTCCAATGATACTATTTATAGGAGATTATAAACTCACTGAACAGATTAGGTATTTAAATAGTCATGCTGGTCAGTTTCGGGCGTAGCAGGCACCAGAGAAAGACGCATTGTTTTCTGTCAATATACACTGTGTATTTACCCCTTTCCAGCAATCCTTATATGGCAGATATTCTGCTCACTTCTGAGATAAGAGCATTTTATTTTAATTTTTATATTATTTTCAGTTTAGTTCAGTTACAAATTTTGCCAAGTTCCTTCGCTGTATTATTTTCTGCTGACATTTTTCGTAATGTTGTTTCAAGTAAACATATTGTTCAGTTGTGTGTATAATGTTTTAATATTCAAAGTAGTAACGATGCATCGTTAGCATTGAAGTAAGCACGTGGTAGTACAGTAATCGAAGTATGTTCAAAGTATACGTGCATAATTATACAGTGGGAAGGATCAGAGAAGCTATTCAACCCTTCTTGTACAATGCGCCACAAGTGATTCCAGGACAGAAGTGTCTCCATCACACCACACTGCATTCAAAACCTAGAAACCACTCCATAGTTATATTATATAGACATTTAACTTTAAAATTTTATTTCAACAATCAAAATATTGGGGAAAAAATATTGATGTAAAACATAATAAATGTAGTAAATAAAAAAAAAATGTTTTCCTTTTTTTGGGGGGGAAATCTGTAACATTTGGTGTCAGAAATGGGATAATTGTGATTTTAACAAAGAGCTTTTGTCAAAAAGTATATATATATATATATATATATATATATATATATATATATAGCGACTTCATTTTTGTTATCAAAGTCTAGATTTATTTTGAATTTGAACTATTTTCTAAATATCTTTTGCATTTTTAATTTTGCATAAGACTATAATTTTTATAAAAATTGTAGGCGAAGAAATTTGGTGGTTCTTGTGGTAACTAGCATTCAGAAGGGAATCTTTGAATAAGTAAAGGCGTACCTTAGACGTGAGTCGAAGATTGTTGTTTTGAGTGAAGGTAACAAACAAGAAACGGTTAAGCCAAATATTTGAAATTGACAAATTAACAAGAGAACGTGGACTTCAAGTCTTAGAGCTTTATTACGCGGGAGGGCTTTAGAAGTGTATGCATTGATGGCTTCAGCAAAAGCCCAAGACTACGATTAACTGAAGTCAGCTCTTCTTCGTTGACACGAGATGACAGAAGCTGGGTTTAACAGGATGTTTAGATCCAGCAGACCTGAACCAAGTGCAACATTTACGCAATTTACTGTAAGATTAGGGTCATATTTGACAAGATAGATTCAGATTTCCAAAATACCTAGGGCAGTAGATAGCTTATTTGATCTTCTTTTTTGCGACCGAATCCTACACGTTTGCAATCTAGAATTAACAACTTTTTGAGAAAAAATGTACCGAAAACAGCAGACGGGATGTGTAAACTAGCAGAGTTTTCAGAGTCTAGGAACAGAAAAATATGTGCCAAAAACCATTGAGGAAGCAATCGACTTTTGGAGTTATAAAAAGTTAGGAAACTTATAAACCCCAGCATCCAGAAAAAATCGAACGTGTTTGTACTAATATCGAAGCTTAAGTGTTGCATTTGTGATAAGAAAGGACATATAGCACCTAACTGCCCAACGGAAGGGAAGGGTAAGTTTTTTGCAGCTGTTCACGAAGGTTCAGACAATAACAAGAAATGGGGTATAGTCAATTTTAGTTCTTTGATAGTCACTAGTAACCCATCACTTGATTTCTGGGTAAGAAATACTGATAATACTATGATTCTTAGTTCAGCTTGCCACAGCAAAAGTCAGCAGTAACCCTTGTCAGCAGATTATGTTAAAGGACGTCCCGTCACACTGCTGCGTGACATTGGCTGTAAGAACATTGTGGTAAGAAAAAGTTTAGTAACAAACAATTACAACCAGACGACCAGTTTACCGGAAGGCACGCCACCTGTGATCTTGCATATAGTACCAAAGGTATGTTGCAAACATAAACATCGATTCTCCATTCTTGACAGGTAATTATGCAGTCTGGTGCATGGACAATCCAGTATTTGACCTCATCATTGGTGAAGCTAATTACACAAGAACGTCATGTGATCCAAATCCAGAATGACAAGGGGTAATCGCTGTGGAAAGAAGACAGCAAAGAAGGAATAAAACAAGATCATACCAGCAACTTAAAGTTCTTGAGATTGTAGTAGACACTATTCAACAAGGCGACATTGGCAAGGAGCAAGAGGTTGAGTTAGCTCTATCTATTATCCGAGAGAATGTAAATGAGCGAAAGACTTCCAGAGAAGGTAGGTTTACATGGTTTTTACCAGAGCTGGTTTGATGTACAGAGAATACAAAGGGGACAAAATTTATAATCAGGTAGTTGTTCCATCAATAAAGAGATACCGTTATGAGGTTAACCCATGAGTCTATCTTGTCAGGACACTTAGCTACAAATAGGACCATAAACAGAATCCAAACCCCGTTCTGTTGGCAAGGGATGAAATCTGAGATTAAAGCCCGAGGTTTTCAACCGGTCGGTTTTCCTCAGGTAAGTTTGATGAGAAGTGGGGCTTAATCGAAGCGATTCCCAAGCCCCAGGGGAACCACGCTGGCTAACTGTATTTCCTGTATACCTTTTACTTCGACATAGTAAAACAATGTCATCATTCTTGTGTAAGTGTATCGAAATGTTGATCGTGAATTTTACGAATTAAAGCATGCTAAATTTCTAATGGGGACAGATTCCTAGTTCATTTTTTAATAATATGCTTGAGTAAATTAGACAATACCAATATTTCTGTGTGTGTTTGTTAATTTATTGAATATAGATCATATTCTTCTGTCGGTGTAAACTGGCGACACAAAGTGAAGTAATTCGAATTGCAAGTTGTGCATGCAAAACGAAAGTAATGGGGGGGGGGGGGTGCCTGAATAAAGGCTCTAAGTAAATAAAAAAAAAAAAATAGAAACCCTGTTTTGACACTATATTTTGTAGAATATATAATGAATTAAATAAACATTTTAACTGTATAATAATTCCTAAAGGATTTTTCAATGACGCATGGTCTGCAAAAATGACCAGGGCATTGGGACGGTTGTTGTTCCCCTACAGGTAGTTGATAAGGGAATTTAATCTTTTCCTTGGGATCTGTAATTCTAATCATTATGTACAATGACAGCTGTTATAATATGTACTGCTAAAACCCCTCCTTAACTGATTATTTTGCTGTTACTTTCGCCACGTGCACCATCTCTTGAAGAAAAGTGACACGTAAAGTTGTCTTATAAAACTTCATTTGAACAATATTTCAATGCGCATGTAGTCAGAATTAGAAAAAAAAAAATAAAATTATAATTGTATTTAGATATACGATGCTTCAAACGCGGGTCAGTATTTTCTGTTTAAAGTAGAATCAATTTTCGTGTGTTTGAAAATCTATAATAATCGATTCTATCTTGAAATGAAATTCCACCCTTTTGTTCTTACGATTTAAATATATAGCATTAATTATCTGACAGATAAATTATATAAATAACGTATTCTTATGTTATAAAGTAAAAAAAAAAAAGAAAGGAAAAGATCTGGCTGCTGTCGCTTTATCACTTTGGCATGTATGCGGCAGACATCAAAAGCTTGAAAGTTAATTTGATGATCAGTACGACTGCTAGACAAGGCTTTTCAAGATGTACACAAGGACAGAAAACAAAATGTCCATCAATTTCATGTATCCAACCTCAGGCTTAATTTCTGCTGATTGACAGGGGTGAAAGCCAGGCAAATTTGAAGGCGGTGCTTATTTCCTCCCCCTTTAAGATATTCTGCCGTTTTTGCGATATATGTCAACGAACACAGCAGAAAGGAAGAGTATCTAAAGCGCCAATGGCTGAAGTGCCCTTGATAGATGTTCCGTTTAAGAGGGTAGCAGTGGACATTGTCTGTCCTTTGCATCCACAAACTGACAGAGGAAACAGGTTCATTTTAACACTCGTGGATTATGCCTCGTGATATCCAGAAACTATTGCATTACCAGGAATTGACTTGGAGCGCGTTGCCGAAACACTGGTTGAGATTTTTCTCGAATAG